CGAGGAGGCCCTGCGCGGACCGCACGAGCGCCATGACGGCCGCCAGGCGGTTGCGGCCGACCGACTTGGTCTGCTGCAGGGCGTGGCGCAGATTGGCAGCCTCGTCTGTGGCGCTCTGCTTCGTGTGCTCCAGCACCTGCTGCAGGTCCTCCAGCGCTGCCTGCAGCTGGACGCGCGCCGCCGTGGCGTTGGCATAGTCGGTCATGTTGGCGCTGATGACGGCGTGGAAATCCTCCAGCGCCTGCTGCCGCTTCTCGCTGAAGCCGTCAAGCGTCTGCTCATACGCTCCACGGGTGTAGTCCTCGACGTTCACCATGTAGTTCGTCAACGCCTTGATGTGCCCGTTTGTGTCCTGCAGCTCTCCGTCCAGCTTCTTGATACGGTCCTCGTACTCCGCGGTACGCTGCTCGTTGAAGCGCTGCTCCGCGTCCAGCTTCCCGCTCCAGCTGTCGACCTCCGCCTCGTACGCGGCGATCTCCTCGCGGAGTTGTGTCTCACCCCTCTGCATTTCCTCCTCAAGGTCTCTCAACTGCGAGAGCAGAGCATCCTGTTTGCTCTCAGCAGCCTGTGCGTCGCACGAGTAGCGCTCCTCCAGCTCCCTCAGCGCAGCCTGCGCCTCCTCCAACCGCTCTTCTCGCTTGGCCAACTCCTCCTGCACGTCCTGTAGCTGCGTCTCAAGGGCCACTTGCGTCTCCTCAGCAGCCTGGGCATCGTCCGCGTGGCGCTCCTCCAGCTCTTTTAGGGCCCTCTGCGTCTCCTCGAGCTGCTGCTCACGCTCCGCCAGGTCGGTCTCGAGAACGCAGATGGCCTCTTCATGATCAGCAGTGGCAGTATCGTATGCGGCTTGTTTTTCATTGAGGTCACTTTCCAGGCACTCCACCTCACTCTGCAGCTGCTGAATCCGGTCCTGCATCTTTGACTCCTTCTCGGCAGACGCGTCCTCCAGTGCCTTCAGTGCGGCCTGCGTCTCCTCGAGCTGCTCCTGCGTGTTGGCGCGAACAGCTTCAAGGTCCTGCAGCTGCGACTGCAGAGATGCCTGTGTCTCCTCAGCGGCTTGAGTCTCATCGGCGTGGCGCTCCTCCAGTGCCTTCAGTGCGGCCTGCGTCTCCTCGAGCTGCTGCTCGCACTCTGAGAGGTCGGTCTCGAGAACGCGGATGGCCTCTCCATGATCAACAGCGGCAGTGTCGTATGCGGTCTGCTTGGCGTTAAGTTCCTCATTAACCCGCTGGACCTCGCCCTGCAGCTGCTGGATCTGGTCCTGCAGCTCAGACTCCTTCGCGGC